AAGCACTGAGAACTGCTGCACAGTTTAAACAAATGACGGGCTGATGAGATTGGAGTCATAGCCTTATGAGAGGGGAGTGAAATGGAAGGAGTCAAGCTGTCAAGAGAGTGAGAAGAGAGAAAAGGTTGAGGTGACAAAGATGGCAAGAGGGTGAAACAGAGGAGGAAATGCATCAAGGAGGTGTGAGAGGTGGAGGAAGTGAGCAACAGGACTGACTTAAAAATGTGTAGCATGTGGAGGTGATGGATGTTTTTTTGCAGAGACTCTCAAAACCTGTCATAACATGTCTTACCAAGAAAAGTAATGAAAAACATTAATTACAGATGGCTGCATTCCATTTAGATGTATCAGAGGCCTGCTAGAAAGCATGCTTTCTCACTGACATGGCTCATTGCGACACTTAAATGGAACAACGCCATCCTACTAGGCTACTAACACTGCAGACATTTTGACATGTCATAAAAGGAAAAGCACAGGTGGAATTAATAACATTAATGATGGTGCTGCTCCATCTAAGTGTCCCTGGAAGTGAGCCCAATGAGCAAGCATGCACAGTACCGGGACCCTGCGACTGACACACCTAAATGAAATGAAGCCATTATTAAAGGGGAACTCCATTTATTATACATCAGAGTCTTGATATCAAGTCACTTAAGTCAATATCTGCTGGGGCTGAAGACTACAAGTTCGTAAATAATACATTTATGGGGATGTGGAAATAAAAAGAAGTGAGCTCACGTGACCTCTCTAGCTCGCTCCTCATTTCTGTCTGAGGCTAGGAGCTACAGGCTATATTAGCCACTACTAGCATGAAGCTGAAAACACACCAGCGAGGCTCGTCACATGACACGCATCAAGTGCCGCCCCAGCACACACCGGACGCATCATGCTGCAGCTCGTCAACAGACGACCACGCAAAGTTATTACTACTTTTACGGAGAGATCTGTACTCCCTCTACCTCTGCATTAGCTTAAATCATGTGTGAATGAACAGCCCCTAATTAAACCTGACTTCTCACCTGAAGAGCCAAGGCAATATCTTGTTGGCCATTGTCTTTATAATGACGGGACCATGGGTCGCTTAGCTCGGGATATTTCTCAACCTCAACTACAAGTCTCTCCTCCTCCATTCTTCGTGACACACGAGACACAGCAACAGCTATAGAGTTCTGAGTAGAGGAGTCAAGCTGCCAAGGAAGTAGAGAAAAGGAGCTGCTACGGGAGCTGGTATGTATAAGCAGAGAGCAAGTGGGGGGACAATGCATTTAATAGGACAGTGGCGTGAAGTGCTGTGGGACTGCGTGTCTAGCCCCCGCCGGTGTGGGGTTGTACATTGAAAATGGGTTTTGGCCTTAACACCTGAATCTCTGACCAAATTGATAGTGGTCGAGATGCATTGTGGGTAATGTAGGCCCCAGGTTTTGACAGGGAAGACGAATGTGTGGAACAAATATATATATATACAGTACAGGCCAAAAGTTTGGACACACCTTCTCATTCAATGCGTTTTCTTTATTTTCATGACTATTTACATTGTAGATTCTCACTGAAGGCATCAAAACTATGAATGGACACATGTGGAGTTATGTACTTAACCAAAAAAAAGTGAAATAACTGAAAACATGTTTTATATTCTAGTTTCTTCAAAATAGCCACCCTTTGCTCTGATTACTGCTTTGCACACTCTTGGCATTCTCTTGATGAGCTTCAAGAGGTAGTCACCTGAAATGGTTTCCACTTCACAGGTGTGCCTTATCAGGGTTAATTAGTGGAATTTCTTGCTTTATCAATGGGGTTGGGACCATCAGTTGTGTTGTGCAGAAGTCAGGTTAATACACAGCCGACAGCCCTATTGGACAACTGTTAAAATTCATATTATGGCAAGAACCAATCAGCTAACTAAAGAAAAACGAGTGGCCATCATTACTTTAAGAAATGAAGGTCAGTCAGTCCGGAAAATTGCAAAAACTTTAAATGTGTCCCCAAGTGGAGTCGCAAAAACCATCAAGCGCTACAACGAAACTGGCACACATGAGGACCGACCCAGGAAAGGAAGACCAAGAGTCACCTCTGCTTCTGAGGATAAGTTCATCCGAGTCACCAGCCTCAGAAATCGCAAGTTAACAGCAGCTCAGATCAGAGACCAGATGAATGCCACACAGAGTTCTAGCAGCAGACCCATCTCTAGAACAACTGTTAAGAGGAGACTGCGCCAATCAGGCCTTCATGGTCAAATAGCTGCTAGGAAACCACTGCTAAGGAGAGGCAACAAGCAGAAGAGATTTGTTTGGGCCAAGAAACACAAGGAATGGACATTAGACCAGTGGAAATCTGTGCTTTGGTCTGATGAGTCCAAATTTGAGATCTTTGGTTCCAACCGCCGTGTCTTTGTGAGACGCAGAAAAGGTGAACGGATGGATTCCACATGCCTGGTTCCCACTGTGAAGCATGGAGGAGGAGGTGTGATGGTGTGGGGGTGTTTTGCTGGTGACACTGTTGGGGATTTATTCAAAATTGAAGGCACACTGAACCAGCATGGCTACCACAGCATCCTGCAGCGACATGCCATCCCATCCGGTTTGCGTTTAGTTGGACCATCATTTATTTTTCAACAGGACAATGACCCCAAACACACCTCCAGGCTGTGTAAGGGCTATTTGACCAAGAAGGAGAGTGATGGAGTGCTGCGGCAGATGACCTGGCCTCCACAGTCACCGGACCTGAACCCAATCGAGATGGTTTGGGGTGAGCTGGACCGCAGAGTGAAGGCAAAGGGGCCAACAAGTGCTAAACACCTCTGGGAACTCCTTCAAGACTGTTGGAAAACCATTTCAGGTGACTACCTCTTGAAGCTCATGGAGAGAATGCCAAGAGTGTGCAAAGCAGTAATCAGAGCAAAGGGTGGCTATTTTGAAGAAACTAGAATATAAAACATGTTTTCAGTTATTTCACCTTTTTTTGTTAAGTACATAACTCCACATGTGTTCATTCATAGTTTTGATGCCTTCAGTGAGAATCTACAATGTAAATAGTCATGAAAATAAAGAAAACGCATTGAATGAGAAGGTGTGTCCAAACTTTTGGCCTGTACTGTATATATATATCTGGTTCTGCTGAATTGTATTTGATCCCTTTTTCATCTTTCCATCCTGAGCAATGCTACATGGGTGTAGTTCTCTTTTAATGTTACTATTACCTCCGCTGAGGAAGTCATGGATTCAGCTCTGTTTGAGCGTCTGTCAGTTTGTCAGCAGGAATTACTGAAAACCACTGGCCCGATTTTCATGAAACTTGGTGGCAGGGTGTGGTGAAGCATGGGCCCAGGAAGAACCCCTTACATTTTTGAGCGGATCCAAATCACAGAGCAGATACACAAATTATTTGTCACTTTGCAACATATGGCATTCATAGACTGGGCTAGCACTGCATATGGCTCTTAGTTTGGACGTTACAAGCAAACATAAAGGGGGCTGAGGAGAAACGGTGGCAGCTAACAGTGCAGTGCTAACAACAGCAACAGTGCCGACAGTTAGTGGTGTAGCAGTAGATGATAAGGAGGGTGTACAACTAAGTAGATGCGGGTATGCTCTCCTGTATATTCCAATGGCTTTGTGGCTTATAGGTTTATATACCCTCCAGACAGTACACGACTGGACATTACACTTCCGCCACGAGGCTGTCCCACCACTGTCAGTCATGATGGTGTTATCAGTGGTGCTAAATGCCTACATGTGCCACCAACAGCAACAGCACTGACAGAGCTAACAGTGTGATCATACAGCGGTGCTCATACCATCTCACATGAGCACTGCCACATGAGCATGGCTCTCCCATGCACGCCCAGCCTGGTTAGTGCAGTGCAGAGTGGCACCGATTAGCTAGCCAGAGGGGACATGAATAATAGTAGTATGAATGTTGTATATTGCACCTTCAACACTGCGAGACAGGGTATTTGGCCTTTGCTGAAGTCTGTGCTCCCTGAGTGCCCTTCTACTTTTTCCTGTTGTGACATGCTGACCACAAAAGAGATCTGTCGGATGGCTGAGTCCCTCTGTGGCATATCAAATACAATGTATATCATACGCTCTCTCTCTTCTTTTATATAAGACTAAAATGGCTTCTCGTGTCTAAGCCTCCTCTCTTGAATAAACACAACAGACTGTAAAAAAAGTTTTTGCTTCTGTCTTTGTTTTTGTTGCTCACTCTGCACACGCAGCCCACAAGGGGAGAGTGGGTGTGAGTAGGTCGTGCATCTTGATAATTGGTTACAAGCCAAAAAAGGTAGAGAGCCACTGATCAGATACAAGCATGAAGAATAGGCCATATACTATGCACCAAGATGTTTCAAACCTTACAAGCATATTGCATTGATATGTATAATACATTTAGCGGCGACAGATTGTATTGACTTTGTAACATTATCCTATAAGTGTTCAAACCTTGTAGTACTCTCACAGATCTACTTGAAACTAGAGCTGAAATGATTAGTTGATTAATAAGTTATGGTTATTTTAAAACATTTTTGAGTAATTTCCTCATTTCTGCAAGAGTTTTGGCGTGTTGACCCAACCAAAAAAGCAATTAGATGACATCGCCATGAGCTTTAAAGGAAACTTGTGATGGGAATTTTCTGATATTCTGAATTATCAGACGAGTAATGCACAATGAAAATAATTGTTCTTTTGAACCAGAGTTTAAGAAGAACAGAGGAGATTTGCAAATCCTGTTTGACCCAGATCTGATGGTAAGTGAGAAGAAAGGCAGAAAATAGTTTAACAAGAAAAGGATGGGTGCAGGAGCGTTGCTACAAAGATGAGAGCTGATTAAAGACAAGAGCAGTGCCTTTAATTACGTTACTATTTGCAATAAAGTGGGGTATGAGCGTTAGGTGCTTTTCACTGGGTAACAGCCACAACACAAACAACTCAGAAGGAAGGTTCCCTCCCTGAGCAGAGCCATTACTCTGCACATTCCCCTGAATTACTGTGCGCATGACTTACCAAAGAGCTGGCGGTGGAATATAAACTTCCCAGCTACCAGGCCAGTGATAATGGCCAGTATCCAGCAGATTACTTTCAGGATGTTCCATCCGAGGCCCGGGTACTTGTTGAACAGGAAGGAGAAACAGTTGCCCACCACGATCATGTGCGCCTCTGTCTGACTGTGAGAGACAGGGTCCTCGGCGAAGACGAGGAAGTTGAAGAAGGTGACGAGGTAGGCCACGATGAGACGCGACCACGGGTGCTGGAAATAGTAGCGAAAACGGGCATCTATTTCCATCCTGCTGAGCCCCCCAGCCACTCTACACCTGGGAGTCAGAGAGAGACAGACAAACAAACAGATAGACAGAAAGTGCTTCTTTCAGTCAGATTACATTACACTCAAATCAGCAGGGGCAGATTAGAGTGAAAACATCCCTCAAACTGAGATTAGCGGTAGGACTATAACTGAGGTTTGGGATTATGCTAAATTCAGACAACTCTGAGAGTTCAGCACCGGTGCCAGCAGTGCACCTACATGGAGATTTCTTAGCAGCTCTCCCATGTACAACAAGATTATCCCACAAACATGTCAGGGAGGTCTTGATCCGTCTACGCCAAAGAATCAGCAGCATGAAAACAGGTTAAACTGCTAAAAAAAAAAGTTATTTAACAGTTTAACAAAAAGATGAAAACAAGACATTTAAGCTCTAAAGACTAAATTCTTCATCAGGCAGTAAAACAGATTGAGGTGTTGAGGTGTCATACCTGGATAAGGCAGAATCTTGAAGCGCTTAGCTGCAAAGCACCGGCTTTTAACCGGCTTATCCTCTCAGCCCTGCCTGCTCGGTGCTCCCTTCAAAAAATTGTGGCAGCATTACGTCGATGCTGTGCTCGGGAATACCTGCCAAGCAGCGGCGGCACTTGAGTAAATTCCCGACAGTCCACCCCCTCTATGTTTTTAGAGCCAGCCAGCTACATTCATTCACCCATGAACTTCACCCTGAACTCCCTCTGCTTGTAGCCCCACTGTGACTTCGCTGGACCGAACTTTCCCAAACCAGTTCCCTGCTTTGACACTGTTTCCTAAAATACCCCACAGTGGGAATATGGAGTGATGTAACAGCCTCACAAATAGAGCTGCCAAAGTGAGAGACCCATGTGGCTATTCAATTTCACTGGCATCATGTTTGTCTTGTCATTAGGTGCCACCTTGGGTGACACATAATGACTAATAGAGGTGGGATCACTTAATGAGCCTGGTGAAATGTGTTTCCTGGCTTTCTCCCATTCTGACCATTAAGAGGAGTGGCTGTGACAGGAAGGTCCCTTGACTCCCAGTGCCTTCTGGTAGGGGAGTTCCTAACATGCATGGAGAGACACTCAGCACCCAAAGGACAGCCATGAAAACAGGAAAATATGCAAACACTACACAGAAAGGACTCATCATCCTGGGATACTCAGTGTGGCATATGGCAGTGAGATAATGATGGAAATGCATTTGCAAGATCTGTGATATCACACTTATCATCAGCTTCAGCATCCTTGTCATCCTGCTCATGGTGCATCCTCTAAACTCCCCGGCTTCCCTCTAACACGTAAAAAATGCATCAGGGCTGCCAGTATAAACAGTCTAAGTGCAACAAGAAATGGCCCCATTATTCGTGCCAGGTCTGGCAATTCCTGAATGGACTGCCGTGTTAAGAGCATAAGCCTGTGACCACACACATCCCCTCTAATGTCACAACAGCGATGACGCCAAATGTCACATCGCCGACCCCACGTATCTCGGAGATAACACAAGCTTGACTGGAATTATCTGATTACACAACTTTAATGTCGATGCACCCAGCGACATCTGGGACGGCCGAAATTCGCGCGAGCCCTAACGTTACCTGCCTGCACATCGGTATTTTTTTTATACCCCATGTACATGTGCGGTAAATCCCCTCCATGAACGCACCTGCTCCACGCCGTTTTGCTCTCAGACGACAGCCAGGACGATCAGCCCCGCTCCCGCACGGCTCTCCTGCCACATCAAGCCGACAGCGGCGCTCTAATCATCCCAAACACGAGATGATACGGGAGGGTTGTGGAGGGGATTATCCATGCGACCTGTTGTTGGTACACAACAGAGGCACCCCCAAATCCTCTGCCATTGTGCTGGAGCGTCCATGCGCCGGGCGGGCTAGCTCAGCCGGGCGGTGCTTCGTCAGCGGGTTCCCGCCGGACGGTGCAGCTCCTGGGCTGTTAGCGGGACGCTGATGCTGTAGAGTGGATGGAGATAGCTGGGTCCACACAGCACGCATAGCATCTGTGCAACGCAATGAATCCAACACATTGATTCACCAGTATCAAGCCCGAGCCAGTATAAACACACAACTTCCGGTAACCTATTTCAAAATAAAAGCGTAGTGACTAAGGACATGCATATAAAAAGTAGAAATAGATGCTGACTGTGTTAATATTCTGTTAAAACACGTCCCGTTAATACGTTAATACAGCTCGCTGACCTATGATAATAATAATATAATACATTATTATTATTATTATTTTAATAATTTTAATTTTTTTATAATAAGAATAATAATATTAATAATAATAATAATCAATACCCAATTACTAAATTACTGATCCGCAAACCTTAAGTATTTGTTTATTTGTTGTTTTGTACTGTCATCTTCTAAAATTGACATAAGGACATTTAAAGATGACTTATTTTTCCAATAAAGTTATTACTTTACATATTTAAATACATATATACATACAATACTTAATAGATTTTAGCCATTGCAACGTTATTCTTTCTTAAAATAGCTATTGTTTTTTAGATACTTCCTTCTAAGAAAATATCAATTTTCCATGAGAAGTAATATGACATCTGTCTGACAAGACTCGATCAAAACGCATAATATCGGCTAAATGTAGGTTTTTCAACGTATAATTATTACATTAAAAGGTCGTTTGAACGTTAAATGCCAGTTTAAGCTGTAGCACTGAATTTATACTTGTTTTTTTGTTAGTGACTTGATACGTGCTCTTATTTTGAAGACGGGTTCACATTGTTTCCGGTGTGTCTGTGTCTGCGTCTACCGTGACACAGAGCTGAGATTCCCTCTGGTGACAGGATGATTTTGCTGCTGTAAAAATCTATTTATTTATTTATTTATTTATTTATTTATTTATTTAAAGAAGGAGTAGGAGGGGCAGAGAGCAGAGACAGGAAGCCCGGTGGCTTCCAGATGTTTCAGGATTTCACGCCAAATAAGATCTGCTGCCACGAGAGGCGGAAATCTCCCGTTATTACAGATCAGAGACCTAAATCAACGCGGAAAAATGAAAATCACCGACTTGCTTTAATCGTGGTCCAACCGGAAACCTGTGGTTGAATTTATAAAAAAAACAGTGTAATAATTTTAGTACACCGTTGTGGGCTATAGTGTGCAAATACCAGTGACATCCTAGAAATAATGTATTTTAATAGCCTAAATGACATTAAAAACAGATCGCCTTTTGTTTATAGAGAGTTTCAAAAACAAATAAATAAATTTAAAACCCACAAATGTTCACAATAGTGTTTCATTAGGCTATTGTAACCTAATCATAAATGTCCCATCATTAAAGAAAAACTGCCTTTACTGCTGACCTCATTTTCTGAGCATCTCTGCAGCACATATTATCATAACTAGTTGCAGTGGGTCCCTAGCAAAAAAGTCTGTGGGGCCCTATTTATTCCCCCTGTTACCTTACACAGTCAAGTTTCCATCAGGCAAAGGCTACAGTTCTCTGTAGCCTTTGCCTGATGGAAACTTAATTGTGACAGGAAACAAACCACCACTCCTATGATGGATCAGGCTGCTGCTGCAGAGCCTGGCCTTTTCTGTCTGTCAGTTAGTTTGAGATTATTTGATTTAACACAGCTTTTTGATTAATTTGCCCCATGTGAGCACAAGCTAAAATAAAGTATTAAAAAAGTTTTTGATCCAGGCTCCTTTAAAAGACAGGGCCACAAGATTAGGTAATACAGCACAACACACCCTGTAATTGTTACTTAAGTAAAGCAAATTAGTGTACAAATTCATAAACTAATTTTACCTTGATTCAAATATGTACAACCAGTTGAAACACAGTGAAACAGGGGCTGTTTGTGTTCCTGGCTTCTGGGCTGCAGGGCGCTTTCCTGCTTTGCCTACTTGTTGGTGCAGCATGGGTAGTAGTAGTTGTAGTAAGTTGTAGAAAATTTCAGTGGTGGAATGTAAATATATTTACTGAGTGTTGTTTTTCAGTAACCTACAATGCTGAGGTACATAAACTTGAGTATTTCTATGTATACTTCCACTCCACTTCATTTCAAAAGCAAATATAAAACTTACTTTGCAGATTCTGATTTTATATAGAAAACAGGCAATGAGCTCATAAAATATGATGCATTCATGCACCAAAAAGTGTATGAATTATTTATAATTGGCCCCTCCTTTACAAGGGGCTGCAGTATTATAATGCTGTTTGCAAGTTTGCACAGGAAAACCAATAAATAATACATCATAACAACAACCCTTACATGGGCAATGCTGCTACTTAATGAGCTCTTTTACTTGTGATAATTTATTTGCTTTTTTTGTCTACACTGTGGTATTACTATTTTTACTTGTGAGTAAAAAAAAAGAACTTCCTCACTGGTATTTTTTTGTATTATTTGTATGCACTACATTTTTATACAACTATCAACAGTTTTATTAGTTCGTATGAATAAATAAATAAATTAATAAATAAACGTATAGGGAAATTATTATGATAATAATAATAAAAAAACATATAGAAAGAATAACTTAAAATAAATACTTTGACTATGTCATGTGATTTTGATGTTGATGACGACACAGTTGGGGCGGGGCCTGCCGATGTAGTCCATTTCCTGCTTCTCTGCCCTGGTTTCGCCTGAACAGCTACATCAGCCCTTTATCCGACGAAAGACACAATGTCACATCAAACGGGCATTCAAGGTACATGCGTTTTTCTCTGCTTTCAGTTTCTCTGTTTTTAAATCTGTTGCTGTGCGAGTGTGTGATTCCCGAGCGAGCTTTAACTACCTGCAACAATTCATTGCAACGGGAAGCTAGCGTCAAGTTAGCTAGCCACTCCTAGCTAGCTTAGAGCTACCGTGATGTGTGCGATCAGCGGTGCCCTGTTTCGGCACTTTTAGGACTGTGAGATATAATCCCTGAGTATTTAGCCGGTTTATGGGCCACCGAAATCATGGCTACTCCATATTGTTTTCACAGTAGTGTTAAAGCCATGTATGCCTTAGCTTCCCAGCTTAAAGCTTAAATCCTGCAGCGGTAGTTTAGCCGTCTAAATGGATGGGCGACGCCTTCATTTAAACAGAAACTGCTGGCCTGGTAGACCGGCCGGTGTTCCCATAAATACATGAATAGCACTGGCATTACCTACAGTGTGTTATTATACAAACTGAGCTCGTAAGGCGTGACGTGCTCTTATATATGGCAGCAACACCGCAGAAATGTTTACAGTCTGTTCTGGGGTGAGACAACGTGCAAATTATGTGAGTTAATAATAGACAGCGAGATCAAGCGTTTGTAAATGTCTCTGCTAACACCATGCCAACGCTCAGCCTCAGTTTTTATGTAAACTATCTAAAATTTCAGTGTTTGATTAGTTGAGTTTTGTGTTTTTTCCTTTGTCAAAATTAGTCAAGTTGATCTGTGGCACACTTAAGTTTTAATATCCTTCAAAACTATAGTCTTATTTGGAAATGTATGCAGAGCCCAGTCTAGGTAAATCTGCCTCCATACACACATACACGTCCAGAGCTGACTAGACAATACATGTAGAGGAAAATCAAAGTGAATCCCAGTGCTTGAAAAGGCAAAACCCAGTGGAATATAATGTACTATGGTATCTAACCATTTACAGCCCTGTCTGTGTTATACGAAACTGTACCTCCCTGCACTATTTATCCAAAAACAAACAAACAAATACCAATCCTACATGTATTTGTAGTTGGACTTGTTCCCCAGCTTTTGCAGGGTTGTTAGAAAGAAAAATTGCACAATCATTGTTGCTAAAATAGTCAGTACGCTGGTTTGAAAGGGAATTAGAGACATGTTTTATTGTGCCTGGGTTTGGGGTCAAAGGTGGTCAGCCTTCAGTCACATGTGAAATGCTCCTGAGTGAAACCCAGGAACTTTCTGGATATCAGAGCAAGTTATTAACGTATATAGTATTTTACTGTGACTTTAGTATTCTTGTGTTGGACCAAAGAGTTTCTAAAATGCTCTGCATGACTTAAAGTCTGTTTAGAGGGCAAATATATGGTGTATATGTTGATAACGCCAAATAAGAAGATACTTATTTGTTCTTTGTGTCATGTCTAACATCTGGTTGTTTCCACAGGCTAGTAAGATTCACAAAGCCTTTAAATGGCCATGTTAGCATGAGTGTCCTGTTGTCAAGCAAGTGTCCATTTAAAACAGTAGGAGACTGACGCCTTCTCTGTCTTTCCTCAGCGGGTAATGATGTGAAGGAAGTCTTTGCAAGTGCCAGGGGTGGAGACGAATATCGAGTCTTAAAGATCGTCATCGATGATGGTAAGCTCTGTCCCAGAGTCCACGAGTTTGTTTATGGCTTCTTTTGCCAAGAAAACGCTTAACTCATACTTCTACTCAAACTTCTCACCAAGGCTGACATTAGAATGTCAACATGACTCACACATCCATGCACTGTTGAAATGTTTGTCGCACACATCTGTTTTCCAGAGCAGCTGACTGTAGGCACCACCAGGAAAGCATCAAAGTCGTGGGACCAGGAGTATGATTCCTTAGTGCTGCCCCTCCTCGAGGATGACATGCCCTGCTATATCGTGTACCGGCTGGACTCCTGTAACAACCAGGGGTATGAGTGGGTCTTCCTGGCCTGGACACCGGACCGCTCTTCTGTAAGAAAACTAAGCCCAAACAGGCTGTAATGAATAGCTCGCCATTCTTACCAGCATTTGTCCTCCTCTGCTTTGAGTATCAGATGGGTGGGGTTACCACATCAAGGCAGCAATTCTTTCTATGCTTGTTGAAAAACTGGATAAATGTGGGCAGCAGTGCATTCATTATTTCCTACAAGACCTCCTGAAATGTAAACACAGGTAGATAACATGGTGCTCCCACGAAACCCCTCATCTCTGGCTAAAAATTCACCTTCTTAGCACTTTTAGGTGACATAGGTTTATCTTGCTGTGTTGTTTCCTTGTCATGCAAATGTGTGCTTTGCATTTGTCATGCTCTTGACTCACACAATGTCAACCAAGTCATTGT